GAAGGAAAAGCGATTTTTTCCCTTTTTTAGAGTTGCTGGTGGTTTTTTTTGGAAAGCTCGGGAATTTTCCGGGCTCGGCTCCACGGGATGAGGTCAGAGAGGGAAAAATTCCCTGAAATCCAGGAAAGTGAGCTCAGCCCCCGCCGGGATCCAGGAGGGCCCTTCCCGGGAGGTTCGGGTCCCTCCGGGCACCAAAAATCCCAAAAGCGACACCCCAAAATAAAAATGGGATTTTTTAACCCTAAAAATTGGATTTTTTACCCTAAAAACGGGATCTTTTACCCTAAAAATGGTGATTTTTTAACCGTAAAAACAGGATTTTTTTTACCCTAAAAATGGGATATTTTACCCTAAAAATGGGATTTTTTTACCCTAAAAATGGGAGGCTTTTACCCTAAAAATGGGATTTTTTTACCCTAAAGTTGGGAGGTTTTTACCCAAAAAAATGGGATTTTTTAACCCTAAAAATTGGATTTTTTACCCTAAAAATGGGATCTTTTACCCTAAAAATGGTGATTTTTTACCCTAAAAATGGGATTTTTTTAACCCTAAAAATTGGATTTTTTACCCTAAAAATGGGATATTTTACCCTAAAAATGGGATTTTTTTAACCGTAAAAATAGGATTTTTTTTACCCTAAAAATGGGATATTTTACCCTAAAAATTGGATTTTTTACCCTAAAAATGGGAGATTTTACCCTAAAAATGGGATTTTTTTACCCTAAAAATGGAATTTTTTTACCCTAAAGTTGGGAGGTTTTTACCCAAAAAAATGGGATTTTTTAACCATAAAAATGGGATATTTTACCCTAAAAATGGGATTTTTTTTACCCTAAAAATGGGATATTTTACCCTAAAAATGGTGATTTTTTTAACTTAAAAATGGGATTTTTTTACCTAAAAATGGGATTTTTTTACCTTAAAGTTGGGAGTTTTTTACCTAAAAAAATGGGATATTTTACCCTAAAAATTGGATTTTTTTTACCCTAAAAATGCTGATTTTTTTACCGTAAAAATGGGATTTTTTACCCTAAAATTGGGATTTTTTTACCCTAAAGTTGGGAGGTTTTTACCCCCAAAAAATGGTGATTTTTTAACCCTAAAAATGGTGATTTTTTAACCCTAAAAATGGGACTTTTTACCCTAAAAATGGGATTTTTTTACCCTAAAAATGAGATATTTTACCCTAAAAATGGGATTTTTTTAACCCTAAAAATGGGATTTTTTTTACCCTAAAAACGGGATTTTTTTACCCTAAAAATTGAAGGTTTTTTCCTCGTAAAAATGTGACTTTTTTACCCTAAAATGGGATTTTTTTCTGCCTAAAAATGAGGGCTTTTCCCTTAAAATGGGATTTTTTTTTCCCTTAAAAATGGAATTTTTTTTCCTTTAAAATGAGACTTTTTCCCCTAAAAATGGGGGATTTTTCTCCCTAAAAATGAGGGGTTTTTTTCCCTAAAAATTGAATTTCTTTCCCCAAAATGGAGGCTTTCCCCCCGGAAAAATTGGGAATTTGGGGAATTTGGGGAAATTTTGGGAATTTTCACTCACCAGAGATGAGCTCGTCCAGGTCCACCTGCTGCCCTTGCTCCTCGTCCATGTGCAGCACCAGGAATCCTGCGGGGAATTTTGGGATTGGGGATGGGAAAATTCCCAATTAAAAAAAAAAAAAAATCCCCAAATTATCCCCCCCCAAAAACAAATCCCAAAAAATTCCATCCCAAAGAGCCCCAAAACTGAACAAAAACGGCTCAAAAATGTCCCAGGAGCGATGTCACCCCCTGGTGACAAAAGCCACCACCGTGACCCCTGAGGTGACAGGAGCAGGGGACAAAGCTGGGGACACCAGAGACCCCAAAATTCCCCAAAAACACCCCAAAATCCCCCCCAAAATCCCCCAAAATTCCCTAAAAACCACCCCAAAATCCCCTTGGGGACCTCCAGGAGCGATGTCACCCCCTGGTGACAAAAGCCACCACCGTGACCCCTGAGGTGACAGGACCAGGGGACAAATCTGGGGACACCAGAGACCCCAAAATTCCCTAAAAACACCCCAAAATCCCCCAAAATTCCCTAAAAACCACCCCAAAATCCCCTTGGGGACCTCCAGGAGCGATGTCACCCCCTGGTGACAAAAGCCACCACTGTGACCCCAGAGGTGACAGGAGCAGGGACAACCTGGGGACAGGACTGGGGACACCAGAGACCCCAAATTCCTTAAAAAACACCCCAAAATGACCTAAAACCACCCCAACCCCCCCCTGGGGACCCCCATGGTCAGTGCCACCCCCTGGTGACAAAAGCCACCCTGGTGTCCCCAGTGTCCCTCACCGACAAACATGGCCAAATTCACCTTGGGATGGGTTTGGGGTCATCAGGGACCCCAAAATCCCCTAAAATG